TCACCATCAGAGTCGCCATCAAATTGTCCGTGAGCATGGCCTGCAATCTGCATCATCGTATGCATTATCATCATCCCCAGCAGCAGCAACAACATCAGCATGATCGTTGTCGTCGTCAGTATGACCCTCATGTTCATAGCAATCAGCACCACCAACATACTAATATAACCACATTCTCGACACGCGCACACACACATACACACACAACCACACACCGTTGTTCGGGGGGTAACCACCGAGCGATATCGCTAGCGCCCAAAACAATCAACAACATCAACGGGGGGCGGCGGTGGGAATACCGAACCCCCAGAAGTGCGAACAAGTCCGTAGCATTCTCCAAGAATCTTCAGGGGTCCTTCAGGAATCGGCAGGAACCCGCACGAACCCTTAGGAATCCTTCAGAAATATTCTAGAATCCTGCGGGATCTTGAAGAACCCTCAAGGACCCTCAGGAGACCCAAAGATTCTGCGGGAATACCACCGGAAACTTGGGGGATCCGGTCGGGATCCGATCGGGATCGTGTCGGAATCCTAGTATGATCGTGGTGGGATCCCGCACTGAGGGGCCAGGGAAGAGAAGCGACATAGTCCAACCACCCTCTGGGCTCAGGTGTATAACGAACTGGTGTCTTCTCTCTGCTAAAATCGCTCATTCCCCTGCTCGGGGGGGAGGGTTTATCACTGTTCCCTATTAAGAAACACCCCCTCCCCCAGGTGACTGGGAGCCAACCCGAGTCAATGAGGGCCCCCCACCCACCATCCCTTGCAAAAAAATAGAAACACACACTCTGCCTCCAAATTCGGAGCATGCACAGCGAACCCGCTGCGGCCTCCCCCCACCATTCATGTAAAAAACGAAACAAGCTACACTTGGAGGCGGCGGCGGCTGCGGTGGCTGCGGCGGGGGCAGCAGTTGCGGCGGCTGCGGCGGTGGCGGCGGCGGGGACGGCGGCGGGTGCGGGCGCGGGTGCGGGTGCGGGTGCGGCGGAGGCGGTGGCGGCGGCGGCGGCGACAGCGGTGGCGGCAGCGGCTGCGGCGGCGGCGGCTGCAGCGGCGGCGACTCGGCAGCGGCGGGGGCGGCGGCGACGGCGGCAGCGGCGGCGGCGGCGGCGGGCGGCGCGGTGGCGGCGGCGGCGGCGGCGGGCAGCGGCGGCGGCGGCGGCGGCGGCGCGGCGGCGGCGGCGGGCAGCGGCGGCGGCGGCGGAGGCGGCGGCGGCGGCGGCGGCGGCGGATTCGGCCCCAGTGGCTGCCCATCCAAAGACGACTGCTGAATATGCTGCGGCTCGGGCCAGGCTCGGGTGCTACGTATGTGTTGGGAGGGCGGGTGGGAGTGAGCGAGACGGCTTGCGGGCGGGGACGGGGTAGCTTGACCCCTCTCCCTACCCCGTCCCCTGGGCTTGGAGGGGGGGCGGCGAGGGCTCAGAGGGTGCAGTTAAGTCCAAACGAGAAGGCACAACACATTGAGTTGCCCGAGGTTTCGGAGCCACGTTGAGACTCAGAGGGGGAGGGGGGGTGAATTGATGTACCCCCATATTTTTGAGCCGCAGGGACCAAGAGACCGCCCAGATCCCTTCCACTGAGCCCCAGCAGGGCCTCCAAGACCCCCAAACCGAGCCCCATGAGAGCCCCAAGTGTGCCCGAAAAAAGGGCCCACAGGGACCCCAAGAGAGCCCCTTTAAGAAGGCTTTCCATCGTCTGTCAAGGCCCTTTCACAACAACATGTGTCCAAAACCCGACTTCTCATCCCCTTTGTCATCGTCCGTTCCTTCTCTCCTCTTTTCCTGCATCTCCCTCCTCCTCTTCCCCCTCCTGTTCCTTTTCCTCCTCCTCCTCCTCCTCGTCCTCCTCCTCCTCCTCCTCCTCCTCCCCTCCTCCCTCCTCCTCCCTCCTTCCTCCTCCTCCTCCTCCTCCTCCTCCTCCTCCTCCTCCTCCTCCTCCGCCTCCTCCTCCTCCTCTTCCTCCTCATCCTCCTCACAGTCCTCGTCGTGGAACGGTCCTCCTCCTCCGCCTCTTCTTCCCCCTCCCCCGCCTTCTCTCTGGTTCCCAGACTTCCTCCTCCACCTTCATGATGGCCCAAACTAGCCGAGCGTGGTTCAATATAGCCCCCGACAGCCTCCAGCCGAGCATGACTCAGGATACCCCCAATCAGGCCCCAAGATTGGTTCCATTCGTGCCTGGATGGGCTGGTGGGGATACTTTCTGATCGCAAGCGTAGCGGAAGTGCCGCACGCCGCCCAAAAGTCGCAACGCACGGGCTACGGCCAAACTTGCGCAAGAGGGAAATAAAAACACAACGACAAAACAGCGGGAATGATACAACAGGGGGGCGGGCCTCGCTGCCGCTCAGAATTGCGCCTGCGACTGGGAGGGTGAACCGCCAGGCCGTTGCAACACCAAAACGGCGGGGGGGGAATTCAGTTTGAACGACTCCGCGAGCATGCCAGCGAGTAGGCGCACAACGAAGAGCACGCGCCAAGGACCAACGGGCACACCGTCACGTGGGCAGCGGGCGCGCTCCACGAATGCCCAGCCGTCAACCAGCTTACATGCAGGCACTCGAGGGGTTAGGGTGCGCATCGCCCGACAACACCAAAGGCTGGTGTCGAGGTCTCATTCCACGAAACGGGGAATGCAGGCGGACGCGCACAGGTGGTGGGGATACGCGAAGCGTCAAGAATTTCGCCGAAGGGGGGCGACAATTACGTTCCACGGCTCAGCATACTGCACCATGTACATGCCACACACACAACCTCATCAGCATCACCATCACCACCACCCGCATCACCACCACCACCATCGGCACCTTCATCATCAGCAACACCAGCATCATCAACATCACCATCATCTAAAGGGGCCCCAGAACACACAAATAAATACACACAAATAAAAAAATCCCCATATTTTCCCATATGTTCTGGATTTTTGTCTGCCCCACCACTTCCCATATTTTCCCTATGTTCTGGGGAATCGACGATTAATTGTGTCTGTGTGTGTTTCTTTCCCTCCTGATCATCGTCATCATGAGCATCATCATCAGCATCATCATAAGCCACATCCTCATCCTCAGCATCATAAGCACCATCATCAGCAGCAACATCCTCACCGTCATCAGCAAAAACAGAATCATCACCAGCAACATCAGGATCAGCAGCATCACCATCAGCATCCTTGTCCACGTCCTCGTCATCGTCGAGGTCGCCGCCGTTCTCGTCGTCCTCCTCATCCTCATTATCAGCCTCGGTGTGCGTCTCATCATCATCCCTCTCGTCATCATCACCATCACTACCACAGGCATCATCATCGGCATCAACATGCTCAGCCTCAGAAACATCATCATCAGCCGCATCACAACCACCACCACCAGCATCATCACCATCAGCATCACCAGCAGCATCGTCACCCGAATAACCATCGTGATTCGCATCGCCATTGACATTGTCAGTATCATCATCATAATCGCCATCACCACCAGCATCAGCATCGTCACCATCATCACCATGAGCACCATCAGCATCATTACCAGCGTCATCAGCATTGGCTCCACCAACACCAGAACCACCACCATCAATCGTCAACATCATCACCCGCGCCATCATCATCATCGTCATCCCCATAATCAACATCACCACCATGGTCCTCATGATCCTCATCATCAGCCGCCTCATCGTCGTCATCACAGCCATAGTCATCGACATCATCAGCATCATCATCATCAGCAGCAGCATCGTCATCAGCATACTCATTGTCGTTATGATCGTCTGTATCGTCATAATGCGTACCCTCGTGATGCTCACTATTGATGCCCAAGACCACTCGCCCACCCACACCTGACGCGCTTTTGGCGAAGCCAGGCCGCGCAATAATAAGGGCGAATGGTAGCGGAGCGACGCGACGATGAGCCTGGGCCTTATACAGCAGGATTGGCATCTCATGCTTCCAGTGAATCACAAAAAATTTGCTCGGCCAGCATCTGCGAGCTCGCGACTGGCAAACTCCAACCTTCTGAAAGCCTGAGGTTGATGAAACCGGGGCTTATCCCCTTCAGCAGAAATCGAAAATTCCAGGGAGGGGCGAGGGCGGCGCGTAAAACCCTAGGCCTTAAGCACAGTGCACTCCAGGGAGGGGGGCCAGGGAACAGAATTATGCACTCACATTAAGTCTCACTGACTGCTCTCGCTCCCCGATGATGTGCACCCTCGCGCCGCTCATCATTGATGTCCAAGTCCACCCGCCCACCCACGCCAGACGTGCTTTTGGCGAAGCCAGGCCGAACAAGGATAGGGGTGAATGGTAGCGGAGCGATGCGACGATTAGCCTGGGCCCTATACAGCAGGATCGGCATCTGATGCTCCCAGTGAATCACAAACGATCTGCTCTGCCAGCATCTGCGAGCCCGAGACTGGCAAACTCCGACCTTCTGAAACTCTAAGATTGATGAAACCGGGGCTGAGCCCCTTCGACGCATTCTGGGCTGTGGTAGGCTTGACTGACGCTTGGTTCCACTTCCTTCCACTAGCGAACTGCCCCAAACCGTTGAATGCGCCAATCACAGCCCACTCCCGCTTGCGATCTGAGCGAATTACATACTGTCAGAGATGCAACGGAGCCAACGAAACCAAATGGGAGGGCGAACGTGGGGCGGGATCACATCATGATGAAGCGGCTCCTCACGCAACCATGCCATATCAATGGCCCTCTCGGTACTTTGATGAATATTGTCAGTCGATGGCCCGCTTCACGGTCGCGGCGTGCTCCTCCTGAAGCCTCTCGAGCGCTCCCAAGAGCGGGTCGTGGGTGCTGGGCTTGCGGTAGCCACGCGCCACGACGAAGCGGCCGCCTGAAGCGTTCACCATGGCGTTCAGCAAGTCGGCGCCTGCCCGCGTCTCCTCCAGCATCGCTAAGGAGCCGCGGCACACCGCCACTGCGACATCGGTCACCAGCAGCGCGACGTTCGAGGCCGCCCTGGAGATGACCCCGCCCGCGTCCGCCAGGTCTCAGTTATGCTGATGACCGCGCCGACGCCCCTGGCCAACGTCGGCGAGAAGGACGGCGGGCTGATCCACAGCGTCAGCATCAGCACCGCGCCTGGCGACAGCCACCAAGCGCGGCCCACCCGGCTGGCCCCCGTCAGCCAGCGCTGCCAGGCTGCTTGCCGCTGGCGCTTCGGGGCAGCTGCGGGCAGCGGCGGCGGATGGAAGGGCGCCTCCTGCTCCGCGAAGGGCGAGGCGGTAGCCGCACTTCCCCATGGCGAGGCGAAAGATGTGCCAACCAGCGTCCAGGAATCACCCGGCACCCGTCAACCATGAGACGAACCAGCTCAGAATTGCAGTGAATATCAGCCATCTCCAAGATCCTTGCGTACAACTAGGCGGCCTGATGACTCAGACTATGCTGAAGCCTTGTGAGGCAGCCTTCGAGCACGTCAGCCTCTGTTCACTGGAACTGGAGTCATGGTTGCCGGCCCCATCGGGTTGATCATGAACCTGCGCCCACGACTGAGCCCTTGCGTTGTCGGACACTGTGGCAGATCACGGGACGCAGGCTCAGGCCAAAGCTCCCTCGGGGTCGACGTGTCGGTGGCAGCAAGTAAACAAAGGTTCATTGAAAACAGAGAACCAGAACACGTATCTCTCGCTGTCTCTGGCCGTCCATAGAGGCGCCTCCGTGATGGCGCTGTGAGGATCAGGGACATGAGTATAAAGCGCGAAGAAACTTTTATCCTCTGGCGGTTCTTTCCTGACGTCGATGGCACTCGACACCTCGAGCCAAAACGTAGGAATACGTCATGTTGCTCCCATCGCACTTAGGGACCACATCCCAGAACTAATTTCGAGCACCCGGAAAAGTGTCGAAACAGTGTCCAAACAGTGTCGAACGAGTGTCTCCCAGGGCCCGACACGTGAAAACCCTCAAGTGTCGGTACTTTCTTGGTGCTCGAAGTAAGGCGAGGCTGAAGTAGGTTGGAGCATCATAAGGAGTACGGTGGATGCCCCCAGGAGGCGAGGCCTTCAGGCCAATCGCGGTCGTGCCTTCTCGTCGTGAAAAACAAGCCGCTGCTCAAGAAGAACCACTCGAGGTAACTCCACAAACGCACCTGCAATCGACGACGACTACGACGACGGTGAGACGACAACGACGACGGTGAGACGACAACGACGACAAACTACGCACGAATAACGACGAACAACGAACGACCACGCCGTGGTCGTTGTGGCCATCGTCCGAAATCAACCGCTGCTTTGCCTATTTCACTGTTCGCCTCCTCGTCCTCCTCCCCGTCCTCATACTCTCCCTGCTCCTCCTGACCCAACCCCTCCGCGCCAACCTCCTCCTCCTCCGAGCCTCCTCCTCTTCCTCCTCCTCCTCGGCCTCTCCTCGGCCTCTCCTCGGCCTCCTCCTCAGCTTCCTCTTTGGCCTCACCCTCCCCTTCTGGCCCGAGGCCTCCCGGGGATTGCCCGAAGGCCGCGCATGGCCGCGGAGAGCTGCCGAAGGCCGGCGGTGGCCGGCGGTGGCCGCCGGAGGCGCCAGGCTCCCGACGCGCAGCTGCAGCCCCATGCAGGGAATGAGCACACCGGCGGCGAGCAGCGCCATGGAGGCGAGGGCGAGGCAGAGGACGAGCCAGAAGGTGCCCCTGCGGCCTCGTGGCCCCGGCCGTGCGGAAGGCCCCGCGGCCCCCCTCGAGGGCGGCAGGGGGAAGGGGAGCGAAGGTAGAGGGTCTGGGTCCGGGAGGAGGAGCAGGAGGATGGAGGGGGAGGGAGGGGGGAGGGAGGGGGGAGGGAGGAGGCGGAGCGGGGGCGAGCTCCAGCATTTCCCAAACAGTGCTTGCACATCTGCTTTCCAGCAGCAGAGCCCCGATGGCGGTCTGGCCGGCTCGTCGCCGCCCGTCGCCGCCGTCCGGGCAATGCGGTTACAATCACGTCGCATTGCTTTACATTGCGCTGCAATCGCATTCGCATTGCATTGCATTGGTTTGCGTACGCTGCTATGCATTGGTTCGAAATGCGTTGCAATACTTTGCAATCAGTTGCATTGTGCGCATTGGTTTGCACCGTAGTTCGCGTTGCTTCGCATTACTTTGCATTGAGTCGCCTTGGGTTGCGTTGCTTCGCATTGCCTTGGATTGGATTGCGTTGCTTTGCAGTGCTTCGCATTGTTTTGCATTGCGTTGCCTTGCTTTGTATTCCGACGCAGTGCTTCGTGTTATTGTGTATGGCTTCGCGCTGCTTTACATCGCCCTGCATTGCTGTACCTGGCGTTGCATTGCGTTGCGTTGCTTTCCATTGCGTTGCATTGCGTTGCGATGCGTCTCATTGCGTTGCATTGCTCTGCATGAAATCGCGTTGCTTTGTACTGCATTGGATTGCGCGGCATTGGTTTGCACTGCGTTGCATGGCTTGCATTACTCTGCAGTGTTCCGCATTGCTTCGCATTGCGGTGCATCACTTCGCATTGATCTGCCTCATTCTGCATTGCTTCGCATTGCTCTGCATGGCGCCGTATTGCCTTGCGTTGCGGCGCATTGCGTTGCAGCTTCGCATTGCTTTGCATTGCTCTGCATTGCTTCGCACTGCTTCGCGTTGCTCTGGACCACATGGGTCGCACCAGAAGGATCGCACCACCTAGATTGCAACACATGGATTGCACCACCTCGATTCCTCCGCATATCTTGCAAGGAGTCATTGATTGGAGCCCACGCTGGCTAACACTGTGTCCTGGCAACTTGGGAGTATGACGGAGCAGTCAGCCCAACATCAGCTCAACCAGAACAATTTGAAGCAAAGGGGGACGGAGGGACAAAGGAAGGAGGAAGTCCGGAAGGGGAACTTCCTCTGTGAGTCTAAATCGTAAGCCCGTAAAGCCTCCGTGAGACTGCGGACAAAGCGTCCTCTTACCCAGACCTCGGAGACGGTCTCGCGGCGCATGTGACCTCGCGCCCTCGAGCGGAGAGGGAAAAGGAAGGACAAGAAGGAACAGAAGGAGGAAGGAGGGACGAGAGACGAGGCAAGAAGGATGAAGGAGAAGGAGGGAGGAGACGGGATGGAATGGGGGAAAAAGAGGAGATCAATCAAGACTGCACGGAACATGTCTACACCGCAAGCGCGCAATACCATGGCGCACGATTCAAACGTAAAAGCGCGGACGTACTAACACGTAACAAGCGCGGCATGGCTGACACTAGACGCATTCAGTCAGAATGGAGAAGCTCAGAATGGTTGCGAAAATGTGTAGAACCTGCCAAACCACACTTCTCTGTGCCCACCTTGGCAAACTAAGATTGCTGCGCTCATCAAAGAGGTGCCCCAACAAGACACGCTTAGACAACAGATGTCTCCAAATAGCGGCCCAAAGAGGCCTCCAAACGGCCTCCAAGAAGCTCCCAAGAGACCTCCCACGGCACCCCAACAAACATCCACGAGGCGTGCGACCCACAACGCAGGCACGGTGGCGAGATGGGCCGAAAGCCACTACCTGCTTGGCACGGGGACGGAAAGCGCATACACTGTCAGGGCGCATGGCATCGTTTTCCATCACGCAGTGGTATTGTTTTGGCATGTTGCTGAAAGGCTGCATGGATTTTCGCATCGCTCCTCGTTCCTCGCTCCTCCTCCTCCTCGCTCCTCGCTCCTCGCTCGTCGCTCCTTCCTCTCCTCCTGCCCCTCGCTCGCCGCTCCTCGCTCCTCCTCGCTCCTCCTCCTCCTCCTCCTCCTCCTCCTCCTCCTCCTCCTCCTCCTCCTCCTCCGCATCGCTCCTCCTCCTCCTCCGCATCGCTCCTCCTCCTCCTCCTCCTCCTCATCGCTCCCCGTCGTCCTCCTCCTCCTCCTCCTCGCTCCTCGCTCGTCCTCGCTGATCCTCGCTCACTCTGCTTCTGCTTGCTGCTCCTCCTCCTCATGGCTCCTCGCTCCTCCTCCTCATCCTCCTCCACGTCGGTCATCCGTCTCAAGCGCTCGCTCGCCTCTCTATTCCTCCTGCGCCTCTTCCCCCCCTTCACCTCCTCCTCCTCCTCCTCCTCGTCCTCCTCCCCCACCTCCTCCCTCTCCTCTCGCTCCTCGCTCCTCGTTCTTCGCTCCTCGCTCTCTGCTCCTCCTCCTCCTCCTCCCCCTCCTCCTCCTTTTCCTCGTCCTCTTCCGCCGCATCCTCCGCATCCTTCTCGCTCCTCGATCATCCTCCTCCTCCTCCTCCTCCTCCTCCTCCTCCTCCTCCTCCTCCTCCTCCTCTTCCTCCTCCTCCTCTTCCGTCTGTCGTGTCCACGTTACTGCTTACCTTAGCACCCACAGCGACGTTAGCTACGATCCCATAGTAGATGCGGCGGTGCCGCTCGTGTTTCGCTATTGCTGCTGGGTATGGGATCGCAGAGCGAACGATTCCGACCTGCGTAAAGCTTGGCAGTTTGCTCACGAGGCTTTGACTGCGAAATATTCGTGGGCCCAGGTCCGAGGGCCCATCGGGGCCGTGATTTTGAGTCTGCGTCGGGTCCGATGGGGCCTGGTGGGCCCGCATTTGATTCGGTCCGACACCGGCGAAACCGTTTCCTTGCTTGCGGTGTCGCCGCATGACATCCGCAGGTTGCTGCTGGAGGGTTTGAACCGTGTGCAGATGCTGCAGCTGTTGACGGCCATCCCTGAGGCCACGGGCTCTGAGGTGATTTGGGGTCGAGCGCTGCGGCTTGGCGTTCTCTCGGTGCGAAATCACGTGCGCCGTGGTACCCTCAGAGCCCTGCTCGGTGGAGGGCTCTGGCCGCCAGCTCGCAAGTTTGTGCAAGGATATGCTAGTTCGGACAAGTGTCAGTTTTGTAATGACAAGCCAGGCACTTTCGGCCACCAGTGGTATGAGTGCGACAGTGCCTGGAGGCAGGAGGACCAAGATCCAGATGCCGCGCCGCCAATGCCCGATGACTTGTGGGAGCATCGCCGGTGGCTCAGGGACCCAGCGAGAGGTATTCCGCCCGATTTCGACTCGCTCGAGTTCGCGTATGGGTTGCCTTCGATTCCGATTCAGCTGAGTCCCGTCCCCACTGCGTTGCCAGTTTTCTCCTGGGGAGCCACGCATTTAAGTTGGGGGCGCCTGATTTTCACCGACGGGTCTGGCCGTGCCAACGGGGTTCCCGAAGCCACCCGCTGCGGGTGGGCGGCCGTCGAACTCTCGGCCCAGGGCTGGCCGATTAGGGCCCGCTACGGGGGCATTGCGGGGCGGGTCCAGACGGTCCCGAGGTCCGAAAGGCAAGCCATCCTGGAGGCGTTTAGGGTGGCCCCGTGGGGAGCTGAGATAGTCTCCGACCACATTTCGGCGGTGCGCGAAGGTGCTGAGTGGTCGGGCCGACTGCAGAGCGGGGCCTGTCGGCACGCCTCAGTGTGGCGCGAAGTTTTTAGGCTCTATCAAGGACGGCCTCAGAGGCCGAGTTTCAGATGGACCCCCGCCCATGGAGATCTTGAGGATGTGTTGGCCGCTGAGCCCGATGGTGAGGGGGTTGGTGTGTCGCGTGTGTACGATCTCCTTGGGAACGCGTGGGCTGATTTCTTTGCGAATTCAGGGTCAGCCCAGATCTGTCTAGCTGATGTTTCGGTTGAGGCGCTCAAAGAGCGCCTGAAACAAACGAAGCGGACCTTTGATTTCATTCCCAGGGCGGCCCAGATCGAGGCCAGTTCATCCACGGTCGAACCGCGGGCCGCCCAGAGGCCGAAACATCCCACGGCCCCTCTCGTTCTGCTTTCTCACGCCCTCGAGCAGGCCCAAGATGGGTCAGTCCGCTGCACATGGTGCCACCTCTCGGCGAGGACGCGCATGGCGCGCAGCCGTCTCGAGAGGCCTGGTGCGCGGTGCGAACCGACGGCCCTGCATCTGTACTTGTCAGCGGTCAGGACAGAGAGACTCGGTGGCGCTAGGGCGCGTTCGAGCGCTGTCCTGCTGGCCCTCTCGGCGCTCGGGCTCCAAGATGAGTCGTCGTCGACGTCGTCGTCGTCGCCGCCTCCTCAGACCCGAGCGCCTGCTGTCTTTGAGCTTCAGGAGCACCAGGTGCAGCCCGCGGGGCGCTACCTTGTGTGTCGGCGCTGCGGCGCCCACGCGTTGATCGAGGCTCCCGCCTTCCGATCCCTGCTCCTGCCGTGTCAGGGCTCTCCGAGTGCGGGCCAGCCATGGTTCCGTAACGAAGTCCTGGCGGGGCGCGAGCCGAGGTAGCTGTGGGAGAGGCGGTGTGGCTGGGCCGTGCCCCGCTGTGCTGTTTTTCCTGTGGCCACGCGGCTTGGTTTCCACAGGTCGAGGGGCCGCTGCTCCCGACCTACTCCGCGGCCCTGCCGCCTGTGCCAGCGAGCCCTCGTTCGAATCGGATGATGCGCCTCGGCCTGATCCCTGATCCCTCCTCTTCCGTCTCATCCTCCGAATCCTCCTCCTGATCCGCCTCCTCGCTCATCGCGCCTCGCTCCTCCCCTCCTCGGTCCTCAGTCCTCGGTCCTCAGTCTTTTCCACGTTCCTCCTCATCAAACATCCTCTCCCTCGCTCTTCGCTCATCGCTCATTCCCTTTCCTCCTCGTCCGTCTCATCAGGTTCCTCCTCCTCTTCCTCCTCGCTGCTCCTTCTCATCCTCCTTGCTCCCGCTCCTCCTCATTCTGCCCCTCCACCTCCTCGTCCTCACTGCTCGCGTCTT